TGTACGACGCATCCCAGCCTCTCCTCCACATAGCGGCCGCCAACGGCCACGACTCGACGAGCTGGAGCCTCCTTCATGCCGGCTTTCCCCCAGGGGCAAAGTGGGAGGGCTGCCCGGCTTATTCATACGCCGCAGCGGAAGGCCACTTCAGTCTGGCCTCTTGCCTCGCGCTCGTAAGAGGCCGACCGGTAAGCGAGGAGGAAGGTCGGTGGCAGCGAGGCTTTGGATCTCCGTGGGCACTCAGTGAGAGGAAATCTGAAATTCTTATAGTCAGGTTGCCGACGTTGCTTCTTTGTGCAAGGAAGAAGAATGCAGTAATCCGTTTCATATAGAAACTCGCGTACTGTTCCTGGCATTGACTCGAACCCACACCTTACGACACGCAAACATTAGGCCAAGACGTGTTTCTTAGTGAGATACGGGTTCAAGTCCTCGTCAGGGAGGGCTTGTAAGTTTTTCATGAAATGTTTTATTGGATCTTCTCTACTAAACACTAAAGTAACCTCGACAACCTGGCACTGTTTAAGTCACTCTCTTCGAATGCCAAGGAGGTTGTAAAACCTCGCTGTCATTCATTTAGAGCGAGTCGATGGGTAACGTCCATGAAACCAGTTTAGATTCCAATCAGACAATCTTTTGATTGGGTTTTTCGGCATAGTGGCTTGGCGCCGCTTGCCTTTTGAGATATGGGTTCGAGACCTTGTCTGGGAGGGGATATCAGTTCCTATATCAAGTTCGCCACTGCACACACACACACGTTATATATATATATATATATATATATATATATATATATATATATATATATATATATATATATATATATATATATATGTATATGTGGGTGTGGGTGTGGGTGTGGGTGCGTGTGTGTGTATATACATACACATACACACAAACACACACACACACACAGACACGCCGGAACATGTTTTTTAATTTCATATATTTATCTACCTACTGACGCATCTTCCCGCTGTTCTCTCCCGCAGACGTACTACCTCTTCCGTTGGATCCCTATCGCCTTGCCCTTTGCCTGGGTTATCTTCATCCTCTTCTTCTACCATAAGAAGGGGCCCTCGAGGAGCACCGTGGAGGCCATGAAGGCGAAGGTGAGGGCTTGGTCTCGATAAGGTGTTGCTGTTGAAGATGAGTAAATGAAATGAAAATGGAGATAAAGGGAGATGAACTATTGAGAAAATTATTCATTATTTTTATTTGATTGTACTGGTAATTATATAGTATGCGGTACCGGTTACTGTGTCACAATCGGGGGTATGCCACTGGAGATACCTGGTTGAAATGAGGTTCTCTTCAGGAATACTTTCAATGAGGTTTTGTCCTTGCAACTGAGGTGAGAATAGGCGGCGGATGATTGTCCAGAAAGGAAGAAAGAAAAGAAAGAAAAAGATATCGTAGCTGGAACACGGATGAGCGTTGGCTGAAAACTGGTATTACGTCAGATTTGATTTTCGCGCTCTTTGCCTTTCACCTTTCTTACCTTATTTGGTTTCCTCTATGAATAAGGTCCTTCCAGTTGCCACATTTCCCCTTGTGGCCATTTCCTCGCATCTCTCAGTGCTCTGTTCTCTTGCTTCTCCTCAGCCAAACCAAACTCCCCTGCAACACCTTATCCTGCACAGACTAACTCCCCTGCAACACCCTGCAGCTCCTGCACAGACTAACTCCCTCCCCTGCACTAACCTTTATCCTGCACAGACTAACTCCCCTGCAACACCTTATCCTGCACAGACTAACTCCCCTGCAACACCTTATCCTGCACAGACTAACTCCCCTGCAACACCTTATCCTGCACAGACTAACTCCCCTGCAACACCTTATCTGCAGACTAACCCCTGCAACACCTTATCCTGCACAGACTAACTCCCCTGCAACACCTTATCCTGCACAGACTAACTCCCTGCCTCCCTGCAACACCTTATCCTGCACAGACTAACTCCCCTGCAACACCTTATCCTGCACAGACTAACCCTGCAACACCTTATCCTGCACAGACTAACTCCCCTGCAACACCTTATCCTGCACAGACTAACTCCCCTGCACACCTTATCCTGCACAGACTAACCCCTGCAACACCTTATCCTGCACAGACTAACTCCCCTGCAACACCCAGCTCTTATCCTGCACAGACTAACTCCCTGCAACACCTTATCCTGCACAGACTAACTCCCCTGCAACACTTATCCTGCACAGACTAACTCCCCTGCAACACCTTATCCTGCACAGACTAACTCCCCTGCAACACCTTATCCTGCACAGACTGACTCCCCTGCAACACCTTATTCTGCAGACTAACCCCTGCAACACATTATCCTGCACAGACTAACTCCCCTCCCCTGCACAGACAACCTGATCCTGCACAGACTAACTCCCTGCAACCTGACTAACCCAACACTTATCCTGCACAGACTAACTCCCCTGCAACACCTTATCCTGCACAGACTAACTCCCCTGCAACACCTTATCCTGCACAGACTAA